AAGCCAAGTATACCATACCCATACCATACTCAAGCGCTTTGAGTGCCCAGAAAAGCGCTATATAAATGTAAAGAATTATTATTATTATTATTACCCATTTTCTCTCCATTAACCAAGTATCAGTCAAAGAGTTGAAAATCAACTCACACTACCGTCAAAGTATACAATTAAAAGTATATATTCCCTTGAAATTTAACACATAACCTTGTTGTTGCTAGTGCTATGCTCTATCAGTTCAGATACAGTATAATAAAATCCTCTGACTAAAACATGCAAATAGCCAGTGTCACATTCAGACACATAAAGGCCTGCAGCTGTGCAAAAAGATGTGAAATCAACTCCTGAGTTGATTGGCACTTCTTGTTTAAAAGACACTGGCTGTGTTCTTATAGGATGCACATTATACCTATTGTATACACCTATTATATCATATTGTACATGCTATTTCAACCACTTTTTAGCACTTTAAGGCCTGGTTTTACAAACGGGGCTTAGCTTAAGCCAGGACTAGACCTTAGTTAAATTAAGATATTTAAGCAACTTTTTCAAAAATGCCTTAAAAGAAAACATTACAGGTGTGCATCCTGACACAGAACAATGACACTGACATATTTTAAGATATGTCAGAGCAAGATATTTTCAGTTGAGACATCTCAAACATGCATTTTAGTCTGGGATTAGCTTAAGCCTTGTCTGTGAAACTGGGGGTAAGTGAAATTTTCCAAGTGACTGAATATTGGTAAGACTTTACAATAAATTTCCATTAATAAACAGTGGTTATTGTATTAACTGACATTAACAGTAAGTAACACATTAGTTGTTAACTAAGATTAATAAATGCTTTAGAAGCATTTTTCATTGTTAGTTAATGTTGACTAAATATTTAACAAATGTTAACAAATGGAACTTGGAAGTTTTTCCGGAATATTTCAAGTTAAGCAAAAGTTAGGCCCATGCAACCGCATTAATAGCACAATGATAGTTACCATAAAAAAATCAATATCAACCAATCAATAATTTCAACTCATACCTTATTTTCCACAAAATATAATAAATAAATATATAAATAAATCCCAGTGGGGCTAATTGCTAATTCAGAATGTGAACCTAAAAGCTTTGTAAAAGTATGTGCAGTAATTGTTCTGTTACAACTGTATTATTTGAGCTGTAAATTTGGCAGTTGTAATTTTACCATCCTCCCGGCGACCAGGTGATGACCCCGGACAGCGTGAGGAGATCCCTCAGCAGGATCAATGCACGCAAAGCTCCGGGTCCTGACAACATTCCTGGGCGTGTACTGAGAGACTGTGCAGTGGAACTCTCCAATGTCTTCACAGACATTTTCAACATCTCACTAAGTCAGGCTGTTGTCCCCACAAGCTTCAAAGCTACCACCATCATTCCAGTCCCAAAGAAGCCGTCTCCATCCTGCTTCAATGACTACCGTCCAATTGCACTTACCCCCATCCTCATGAAGTGCTTTGAACGGCTAGTCATGCACCATATCAAGTTTGCCCCCCCCCCTCCCTGGACCCCTTCCAGTTTGCATATCGGTCCAACCACTCGACCGATGACGCCATCGCCACTACCCTCCACTCAGCACTCACACACCTGGACAAAAAAGACTCCTACGTCAGAATGCTGTTCATAGACTTCAGTTCAGCATTCAACACAATCATCCCTCAACAGCTCATTCACAAACTGGTCCAGCTG